TTCATCCAGAGTTTCTACCTGTGTTTTAAATTAAAGGGCTTCTGTCAAGTGTCATTACTTTTCTAAGTGTGTAGTTATATGCAGGTGGCAGAACTGATAGAAAAGGATCTTGTCTTGATTGGAAGTACTGCTATAGAAGACAAGCTTCAAGAAGGTGTACCTGCCTGCATAGAGACTCTTTCAAGGGCTGGAATTAAGATTTGGGTGCTTACTGGGGATAAACTGGAAACAGCAATAAACATTGCTTATGGTTGGTATAAGAAATAGGCAGTCTATTTTTTGTTGATACTTGAGATTTGCTTTCTATGTACCATCTTATCCTGATTCACTTGTGTATTGCAGCATGCAATTTGATCAATAACAGCATGAAACAATTTGTTATTAGCTCAGAAACTGATGAAATCAGAGAAGTGGAAGATAGAGTGAGCAGCATTTCTTGATTATCTTGTTTGTCAGTTGGCAAATCCACATCAATTTAAAAAAAAATTGTTTTTTTTTTTCCACAAGGGTGACCAAGTAGAGCTTGCTCGTTTTATGAAAGACACAGTCAAGAATGAGCTTCGGAAATGTTATGACGAAGCGCAAGAGTTTCTCCATTCGGCATCTGGACCAAAGTTAGCGCTAGTAATTGATGGGAAGTGCTTAATGTATGCCTTAGACCCCAATCTTCGTGTAATGTTGTTGAATTTGAGCTTGAATTGCAGCGCAGTGGTTTGCTGTCGTGTTTCTCCTTTACAGAAAGCTCAGGTGAGGTCCTTAAGCCACCTTGGAAACTGTCAAGCTGACTTGAGGTTTCTTCACGCTGAAACATGTTTTTTTACACGCTGAAACATGCTTTTTTAACTAAAAGCATGGATGCAGTCACCAATTTTTATCCATCCCTTTAGGAGCCCTCTTAGTTTCTGTCAGTCACATCTGCCTGGCAGCTTAAATTCCATGAATTTATACGCATATGATAGGTTTCATTAAATCTTTTCCCTATCTCACTGTATAACTTTGTAATAAACTCGGCATATTTGTATGCCTGGAAATGCTCTTTTGGGGTTCACATTTCATTATCAACCGTTTTAGTTTCTTCTGGAGTCACCGTTACAACTTAGAGTTTTGGTGATATTCTTGAAGTTACAAATAAAAAATACTGTAATGTTAGGATGAGCTTTTTGATTGTCAAACTTGTAGGCTAGAGATATTTAGCGACTTTCCCATTGCTTTCAGGTAACCAGCTTGGTTAGGAAGGGGGCACAGAGAATTACTCTTAGTATTGGTGATGGTGCTAATGATGTGAGTATGATTCAAGCTGCTCATGTTGGTGTTGGAATAAGCGGACAGGAGGGAATGCAGGCAGTCATGTCTAGTGATTTTGCAATAGCTCAGTTCCGCTTTCTCACCGATTTATTGCTTGTCCATGGGCGCTGGTCATATCTTAGAATATGCAAGGTTTACCTTCATCTGGTTTTCTTTGTGCAAACTTGTATGGTCTGTTCGGGAAGTTATGTGATCTGGAAGTTTTCTATGCAGGTGGTGACATATTTCTTTTACAAGAATCTGATGTTTACACTGACTCAGTTTTGGTTTACCTTCCGCACTGGATTCTCTGGTCAGAGGTTCTATGACGATTGGTTTCAGTCTCTCTACAATGTGATCTTCACAGCGCTTCCTGTTATTATTCTTGGGCTTTTTGAGAAGGTATCTTATTTTTTTAATATAGTTTTTCGCAGCTTTTATAATGTATGACAGTGATGATTGTTCTAACTACGATGTTGTTTCTTGTTGTTCATACACTTATTGTGCATTTAGGATGTCAGTGCATCACTCTCCAAGAAATATCCCGAGTTATACAGGGAAGGAATTAGAAATACATTCTTTAAGTGGAGAGTTGTAGCTACCTGGGCTTTTTTTGCAGTATATCAGTCATTAGTCTTGTATAATTTCGTAATTGCTTCGAGTACAAAGGGCATGAATTCATCTGGCAGGATGTTTGGTCTATGGGATGTCAGTACAATGGCCTACACTTGTGTTGTTGTAACTGTCAATTTGCGTCTCCTTATGATGTGCAACACAATTACAAGATGGCATCACATTAGTGTTGGAGGGAGCATATTATTATGGTTCATTTTCGTCTTTATCTACTCGGGTATCCACTTGCATAAAGAACAGGTGACTTTCCGTACATGTTTATTATGTTCCGTACATGTTTATTATGTTCCTAATGTCAGTGCACTTTCTAACGCGGTTGGTTTTGTTCACCACAGGAGGGTATCTATTTAGTCATCTTTGTCCTGATGGGTACATTTTATTTCTACCTCACGCTGCTGCTTGTACCAGTTGCTGCACTTTTTGTCGACTTCCTATATCAGGGGTAAGTTTCTGCAGTAAATTTTCTTAAACTACTTGAATTAATATTATGTATTACATTTCAGTATACATTATTCTAGGATCTTTTATTTAAACATTCCTTCCAATTCTTGAATAAGCTACCTCTCAAGGACATATCATTGTCTAAACAGAATCGTGTGAATGAAAATGTAAATTTACAAAGTAATTTCACATCTTTGCTGAGATTTTCTCTCTAGTAATTTCACATCTCTAATTTCTTGTATGACTACTGGAAGTAGTTCACTTTTAACACTACTAGTTGCTTCCTTTCAGGGCTCAAAGATGGTTTTTCCCATATGATTATCAGATTGTTCAGGAAATTCACAAGCACGAGATTGACAATAGCAGGGTTGGGTTATTGGAGATTCGTAATGAGCTTTCTCCAGATGAAGCAAGGAGATATGCCATAATGCAACTGCCTGGACAGAAATCAAAGCATACTGGTTTCGCCTTTGATTCACCCGGTTATGAGTCATTTTTTGCATCTCAGGCTGGCGTCTTGGCACCTCAGAAGGCATGGGATGTGGCTCGGAGAGCAAGCATGAAAACACGGCCAAAGGCACCTAGAAAGAGCTGAGTTCCAGAAATTTTGTACAAATTTTCTTCTTTGACTCTGCGCTTCACTTTTCACCTAGACAACATTAGCAGATACGTAGAATTAGCTGTGTATTTATTCTTTCACACACATTCTTCGTACCTCTCATTGTTAATTCTAAAGTTGTAGTCGCTAGTCGGGTAGGTAAGATTGTAGCAAAATCAGCTGAGAAGAAAATGATAGAGAATGTACATTATTTGAAGTAACCATCCTGAACACACTTGGCAAGTCCAGCTTGTATCTATGTATCGATAGTTGTGATATATTTTATTTTCTTTGGCAATATTATCATAGTATTAGTTATGAACGTGATAGAGGGGAATAGAAAATTTTATTTTGTGTCTCATACAACTTACACTAGTTGTATGAGGCATTTTTTTGTCTCACAGTTTTGTGGACTCAGAAGTATAATATTGGAGTCCACAAATTTATAAGACAAAAAGGAGCCTCACACGCCTAATGTCAGTTGTGTGAGGCACACAATAAAACTTCTCGAGGGGAATAGATGTTGATGATACAGATGGCCGATCTTGACCAATCTAGAAACAATAAATAGTTGATTGATTGATAATTTCACAGAAAAGGGTCCAAAATGCCTCTAAACTATTGGAAAAGGTTTAAAAATACCCTTCATCCACCTATTATTGGGTTTAAAATACCCCTTTATCCACCTTTTTTGTTCACTTATGCTCTTTGACCGTTAGGTCAATGCTGAATTAAAAATTACTTAAAAAATATTTTACAAAATATTTTTATTTTTTTTAAACTAATTCACCACTAATTTAGTAGTCTTCTTTTTTTTTTTTTCTAGTTTTTACAAAAAACAATTTAGTTTTTACAATTTTTTTTTCCTTCATTTTTTTTCATTTTTTTAAAAGCATTTTTTTTGTTGTAAAACTTGAAGAAAAAAAATTGTAAGAACAGAAAAAAAATTGTTTTTAACAAATATATATATTTATTTTAAAAAACTTAAAAAAACATTTTTAACAAAATATTTTCGTTTTTGAAAAATATTTTTCTTTCATTTTTTTCAATTTTTTTAAAAAAAATTTCAGTTTTAAAAAATAAAAGTATTTTGTTAAAAACGAGAACAATTTTTTTCAATTTTTACAAATTTGTTTTTCTAGTGTTTATAAAAAAAATGCTTTAAAAAAACTGGAAAAAAATGAAAAAATAAATCTTTTTCAAAAACGAAATATTTTGTTGAAAATATTTTTTCAATTTTCAAAAAAAGAAAATATTTAATTAAAAACAAATTTTTAACTGTTTTTACATTTTTTTCTTTCAATTTTTACAAATTAAATGCTTTAAGAAAACTGAAAAAAATGATTTTTTTTTGTTGTTGTAAAAAACTGAAAAAAGAAGAAGAAGATGGAAAGCTAATTAAAACTTAAAAAGAGTTATATAAATAGAAAGGATGTAGAGAGAGAAAGTAGAGAGAGAACGTCTGGCGAGTGTGAAGCAAGGCAGCTTACAGACGCCATTAACGACCTAGCTTTATTCCTTTACTACAATCCTCACATAACCTACTGAATTCACTAAGATGACGAGAGTAATTACGCCAGAAAGTGGAATACCACAAAAATTAGAACCGATGCAACTGTTACATTGGCTCCCTGGCATGGGAAGTGCTCCAACGGTAATGCAAGCTCCACCAGAAGTAGAGAAGACTTCCATACAACCGGAGGAAGTGACGATGTACACAGCAGCAAGGAAATTGACATATTCAGTTGGATCTCAAAAGCAGACTATGGCGGAAGTAGTAAAAGGGAACAGAACACAATCACAGGGCATGCAATTAAAATTCTATCCACCGATGGTGCAGGATGGCGTGAAAATAGCAAAATTGAACACGAAGGAGATAGATCTGCAAGTCCAAAAATGGAAGACAACCCTAATAGGGTAAGTATTGGGTGGAAATCCATCATTTAAAGAGATGCTAAAATTTGTTTACGGTGTTTGGAATTTTGTTACAACTCCAACAGTATTAGAGCATGATGATGGTTATTTTATTTTTAAATTCGAATCTATGGAGGATAAAGAGAGGGTTATGCAGCAGGGACCGTATACAGCTAACAATAGGCCTATGATTCTAAAGGACTGGGATCCAACTTTCCAGATCAAAGAAGAATCTATGAGAATTGTACCACTGTGGGTCAATTTTCCACGTCTGTCTATCCAATGTTGGATTGAGGAAAACCTAGGAAGGATTGCTAGCCTTCTAGGTAAGCCAATTTGTACTGATAGGCTAACTGCGGATTGTGAGAGGGTCCCCTATGCTAGAGTTCTAATTGATATGGACATCACACAGCCTCTACCAAAGGAAGTCCACATTGAGATACCTGGTCAAAAAAGCTGGATTCAAATGGTGGAATTTGAGTGGAAACCAAAATTCTGCCTAGAGTGCAACAACTTTGGGCATGAGAAAGGAAAATGCCAACAGATGGAGGAACAGAAAGAAGAAGTCAAACAGAAAAGAAGAAGAAAGAAGAGGAAAATGATATGGAAGCCAAAGGAAGTAAAGGAACAACAAACAGATAATACTGCACAGGAGGAGAAACAGGAGCTAGACAAAGGCAAGCAGAAGATGAACACACAAAATTTGAAGCATAAGGAGATCAATTATGAGGAGCTAGCAAATAGATACAGGTTTGCACCACTGATGATAAAAGAGAAGCCACCTGAACAGACTGTGCATGCAGATACCAGAAATGAAGCAGGACAAAGGAGCCTAAACAGCACTCCTAATGCTCAACCACCATGATCATCATATATTGGAATGTGGGGGGACTAAATAAGTCCCACAAGCAGCGAGAAGTGAGGAAATTCTTGCTGAGAAACAAAGTGGATATGATAGCTTGCCTTGAAACAAGAGTCAAAAAGCAGAAGGCAAAGGATGTTCAAAGGAAAATAGGCAATGATTGGAAAATTGAGGACAATTATGAATATGCACCAAATGGGAGAATATGGCTAATGTGGAAGGAAGTCAATGTCAATGTAACAGTACTGGAGAAGACAGAGCAACTGATTCATTGTTATGTGCAAGATAAGAATTCTGTTTTCACTTGTTACATAACATTTGTTTATGAATTACATACTGTTCAACATAGACAATCACTATGGGGGAAACTAAGAAGTATACAATTGAATGATCCTTGGCTTATAATAGGAGATTTCAATAGTCTACTAAAT